TCCTTGCTACTCACTTTCCCTAAATGCCTTTTCATGTTGATTTCTATTTTTTTTGTTAAAGCTGACAAAATTGATTAGTTAAGAAAGAAAAACTGTATATGTTCTTTAATTCTAATCCATCTTGTATGAGAAGCCTCCCGCTAGGTGCTGCAAGCTGTCATTATCAGTGATACTATTATTTATTTATAATAAAACTTATATTTTTTTAATTTTGCCCATTCCAGAGTGGTAGTTCATTTTTTCATACATTATTAATTTTAGGATTATGGTATCTTATTTATTGTATACTTGTGAACTTTGGTTATTCATATATTGTCACGAAAATCTTCATAAACTAGACCTCATAATGTATTCATTACATTTTCGTGAATGATCTCATGGTTTCACAAATGGTATTACTTCAGTAAATTCACTTTGCACAATTATATACTGAACAGTATTAATTAATCTATACTAATTTTTATGACATAGAGGGAGGATCAAGAAAAATCTCATGTTGTACTGTGATGACCTAGTGATGATGACATTGTTATAACACTTTGGCTCCAGTCCTGTAAGATTTATGGCTATATCTGCTCCAGGTGTGGTGCGATTTTGCACTCATATGTGTCAGATTAAGATTGAAGAAAATTGTGTAGTAAAACAAAATAAGATATTTCATTGTTATATGCAAGGCATACATGGAGCTAGTGGGGGATATTAATGTGTTCATGCCTCAAAATGAGGTAAGTGTGATATTTTAAGTGAAGTACCGGTAGCACTGAAATCTTAGGGGCAAATTAAGTTGGGCCATCAGAATAAAATATAATGCTTGGTCTAGGATCAAGCTTGTATGTGATTGCCAGAGTACTACATTGGATGGATTAAAGATAAAGCCAAAGAAAAGAGCCATAGATGGATGAGTGCATAAAAGATCATAAAAAGTAATTTTGTGCCATTTTATTTTCACTCTTATGCCCTGGGCAAATTATTAGAGCTAAGTAGCCTAAGAATACTTTAGTTCACTAAAATTTAAATGGGAATATTCAGTAAATTGATAAATGAAAAGAAAATTTGATATTGATGTGTCTAAAGTAACATTGATGGGAATTTAGTTTGCCGCATTAGAATGTAAGGATTATGGCTCAAGCATAAGTGAAGGGGATGGAGGATTCCTCTTCTTCATCAAATGGTTACCCAAGGCTGAAGGCTGTCTTGTTACTCCTTTATCAAGAAGTTCTGTCCTACATCTTGTAAGGAAATTCAGAAGTCATATATTTAGATTGAACTCATTTTGCAAGTAAAGTGTGAAAATATTTTCATTGTCACAAGGAGCATAATGAGCTATCACACTGGGAATGGGCATTTACTGAGTATACTTTGTTAAGATTTATAATACAGTATACATATATGTATTTAGATAGTTTTCCTTATTCAAAGCACTGGCAATAATGCTAGGTGATAAAGAAAGAAATATTTGAACTCACATAGTATTAAGCAAATTAAGAGTCAAAGTAGTTAGCAGTCATAACTCAGTACTCAGAGGGTACTTCCTATTAACTCTGGCATGTGGTTTTGAACACTGCCAGTATATCATCACTACCTTCAATTCATTTACCATCTTTCCTAGTTTTTATTATAAGTTATTATCATTATCATTTTTGTTACTGCCATTTTCAATATACTGTACAATAATTTGTTGCTCCCTCTTCAGCATTTTGACACTCCTCGTGTGGGTGTTTTAGTTATGATCTGTTGATTTTGTGTTTTATTACTGGTTAGCAAAGTCTGTAGATGATGTAGTTTAGCAGTGCCACATTTGGATTGCTGTTTTTATATATATTTGACATAAAGCATTATTATTGTGCCCAAATAGTACAGTTATTGATTTTATCATGTGATTGATTCATAGATTTTAGTCACTTCTTGTTGAACCATAAGTTATTGATGATGATGATGCTATTGCTCTTTCACTATCATAGTTTAGTTTAAGATGTCTTCCTTTTTCATTGATAATGTATATTAAATATATCCAGTAAGGTGTTATGTCTTATTATTTGCATAATGCTTTTTTTATTTATATTTTTGCTTCAAAACCTTTTAAAAATAGATTTAGATTTTACAGCTTTAAAATTTTTATTTTTGTTGTCGATGATTATGGAAAACCCAAATAAGTACTACCTTGCATTTCTGAGTATTATTGCTTAAAGTTTGTAATAGTGCAGACGTAAAAATGGGGATTCCAAAATAGTGGAAATCTAAACAAGCTGTCATTATGGTCACAGCAAGACTGTCTCACCTAGTAAGGCATACCTCAGTCACAAGTCTTTATCTCCACCTTAAATTTTAGTACTCATATGTAAACATATATATTTACTCTTACTGCACTTACAGTTGAGATTGTTATGCAATTTTTAATTTATGTATCATAAAGCTGCAGTTACGTTCATTATTGAAAAATAACAATTCTTATTTCAACCTCCAACATTTGTAAATCAATCATTATATTACAAATATAATTCTTCCTACTTGGATGTATATGAACTTAAGTACCTGAATTATCAGTTAATGAGTAATTTGTATTGGCAGCAACACAGATATACAGTACAGTATCTAGGATTAGTTCCTTATGAGCAGCTAATATACTTATAAGTAATTATAGATAGTAAACTTTTGGCAATACATGAGCAGTGCATTATCTTGACTTTATTTATAACAAATAATAGTCAAATGGACATGCAAGATCCTTTGCCAAACATTTCTGTTGCTTCGAAGTGTTAACACTTGATGGTGTGGAGATGTTTGGGCACTAGCAGAAATGTTTGGGGAAGACTCCACATATGGTCACGCTTCAAGTCAAGGAGGCTCAAGGCATCCAAGAACAGATAGATAGGAAGATTGAAGTGTTATGTGAGTGGTTATGATTTATGGTCAGTTGAGAACACCTGCAGTAATTTTAAGTTACTGTTGGTAATTGCTGCATCTGTTGCTCGGAAATATGAGGGTAATGCTGCGGTTGCTGCTGCTGCTTGTGGCTTGTATCTTCCAGTTTTAGCTCTGGCTTGGCTTAAAGAAAAATGATTTACAATATTTTTGGAATCCACCATCTTTTTTTTTTTTTTTTCAAGCTAATAGTGGTGACACTGTGTGTGAGTTTGAGCCTTAAAAAAGTAGTCATGTGTACTGCTCTCATGTTTTGTCTGTCACTGAGAATTCTGATCATTCTGCTGTTTGTCTGTTACAAGGTTCATATTCAGCACCTGCGTCTGTGTATAGTCGTTTTCTTTCTTATTATGCATTCCAGATACATTCCACTCTTCACTTTGTGAGCTTCATAGTTACAGCGGAGACTAAAGTATTGATACATTGTGATATGAGAAATGTCAATTATTACTTCTTCAAAGACAATATAGTTATTATATTAGCTAGAATATTGATATTATTGCCTTGTGTATATAACTTGTATTTTTGAACTTGGGACATGAGCCTTAAAACAGTGGTACAGACCCCTGTAGATAGACAGTTTTCATGTAAATATATAAATTTTGTGATTGTACTTTGTGTTTGACTGAAAATCCTTTTTATGAAGTACTGTAGTAACTGTCTTGTACGGTATTCTTTTAATAATTGATGTAGTTTTAACAGTTCTTGGCTGTACATGCTCCTTTAGATCATTACAATTCTGATTGGTTTGCATATTGATGATAGAAGGTGAAATACTGTAACAATAAGACAGACTTTTCTACAAAGATATTTTCTGAAATAAAATATGAATTCCCATAATAAAATGTGATGTCTTAACTGTTGTTTAATGCTGCAAACTACTAGGAGCTAAAGGAAAAGGTAATCTTTGGTAAAAAGTTTTCAGGCACTGTAATGCACACCAGCAACCTGTAAATTCAGTTGAAATAATAATTTATTTTGAATTGTATTTTTATGCTAGGATAGGATTTAAATAGTTGATTTTTAGTGTAAGGAAAACTTTAATATAAAAGGTTGCTGATCATTATGAAATGCTATTGTAATCTCTACACTGTGTTCTTAATGTTCATTTTACCTAATTTAAAAGAAGATGAGCAATTGTTCCCTCTCTTCCCTCTGATAGCTGCCGCTACTTTTGTAGACGTCACTGCATGCTGCCTCTGTTGTAGATCACATAACAAGGAGAACAATGTTCACGTTGAAACAGTTTTTACGTAGTTCTTCATTCCAGTAGTTAATTCCTTTTAAGCTAAATATCCCCTTAGAAAGAAAACTGAACTGTTTTAACTAAACTTAATGAAATGCATCCAGAGATCTGACATCTCCAACATTTGCTAATATTGATAGTATGGTTTCCATAAAAGTTGACTTACATTTTTAACAAGTGCATTCATAATTTTGACAGCATGTTGACATCTTGCTTCTGTTACTCATAGAGGCTTACAAGAATTTTTCCCCATTTTGTGAAGTAAGTCAACAGCAGAACTTCCCGCAAAGGTAACTCATAACGTTGCATTTACATTCTAGTTGAATGTGTAGTCCAAGATCACATTGATAAGATAGGATTTTATAAATCAATAAATATCTACTTTGGTGTACAGCTAGTTTTCTGATGTTATATACATGTATAATTAACTTTAATAATAACTGTTATTACATAGGACTTCTAGTTGATGAAGTGGAAGGTTGATCCCTTAACTTAGCAAGATTAGTGGGGTATTATGGCCTATGATATATATAGAGCTGGTCACTCCACCTCTCTTCTCACTCTGATTTACCACCTCTTGGAATATATCAAAATATATACAGTATATTTATTTTTTGGTTTCATCAACTTAAAAGATCTAAGAAATTTTATCATCATATTACAGTGCATGATGATCATTTAAAAAAAATATATTCATTACAGCTATGCAGTATTTAGATTCCCTCTCATTAATACTTAAAAATGATAACACCCTTATAAATGCACTGTGATATCCCTGATAGTAAAACACTAAAAATACCTCTGAATCATAATGTATACTGTATCTTTACAGCCCCCCTTCAACCACCAAGTTTCCTAATGAACCTCTTGTAGAGACGAAGGCTGATTCTACAATCAGGACGCAAGAGGATGTTAAAAAGACTGACACTGAAGAGAATGTTCAAAACACTGGTGAGTTTGAAAAGGATCATGAACAGGTGGGCAAGGATAATGATGAGGGCAATGAAGGTGGTGGTGGAGATGAAGGGGATGGTAAAAGCAATAAAGGAACACTAAAGAGGAAAAGCAAGGAAGAAAGGGAGAAGAAGAAGCTAGATAAAGAGGCAGAGAAGTTTATGAAGGAATTGGAAAGGAAGGAAAAAGGAGCAGAGAAAAAGGAAAAAGCTAGGGAGAAGAAGGAGAAAGATGTAGAGAAGAAAGGAAAGGAAAAAGAAAGAAAAGATCAAAATAAACAGGAGAAAAAAGAGAAAGAAAAGCAAATAAAAGATGAGAGAAAAACAAACGAAAAGGAGAAAAACGAGAAGCAGCAGAATGCAGCAGAAGTAGATGAAAATGGAGACAACAAGAGGAACACTTTGGGTCCAGGTGAAAAAGAGAACAAAACTGAATATAGAGAAAATGAAGAGGATCCTCGGATGGGCACCTTAAATAGACTCTCCGCACTCTTCCGATTCAGTAAGTTAAACAGTAAGAGTTACAAATGTGAGGAGGAGGAAGAAGATTGTGAATGTAAGAGTAAACAGTTGCAGGTTGCCTTCCCTGATCCTGAAGCTCCACCTCTTCCCCCAAAGCCTTCACCTAACTCCCCTGTCATGAAGAATGTAGGGACAAGAGTAGATATATAGAAATTTATAAGACTATGCATTCACAATGTCATATTTCATATTTATTTTATATTTATTTGTATTATTTGGGTTGATCATTGGTTTTGTTTGATTTCCTCTTGACTTTTACCCCCTTGACTTTGATGCATTTCACTTGTTGTGTACATACTGTTTCACTAACATCATAAATATAAAATTTTATCTCACCAATACAGATGTATTGCCATAAAATTTTTAGTGCCAGAATATTGATAGAATTGTGAAATAATACTTCCTGGTATATGTACCTAAAGATCTTAGTTGCTATTTATTTACGGTATTATATTTCCAATAAGCTCATTTTTTTAAGGATTGGAGAGAGCTGTGTACACCCACACCTCAAAATACCAGGCCAACACACAGGTCATATGTCCTGGTGCTATACAAATATTTTTTAAAGCTACTTGAAAAACTTTTGAATATTTCTAAATACTGTAGATACTTTGATGAAAACTAAGATGAAAAATCAAACCATTTCTAAAAAATTCTGGTTTAGCAGCGACTTGCTTCATATTGATGAATAAACCAAAAATTAAAAAATAAGAGGTAATGTACTTTATACCTTCATCCCCTTCAACTGTGTCTAGATATAAGTTAATGTTTTGTATGAATAAATTTAAGGAGCATGTGCTGGGGTGCGCATGTAGCTACATATTGTTTTAACATCAACAACTATAGTATCTCTACACTAACCGGGCCCATAAACCACGCCCCCCTTCTGTACTAATAGCTGATTGGTTCATAGAAAATTCAAACTAAATGTGTCACAATTGGTAAGCAGACCTGTTATTATCTAAAATAATGTTGAATATATGAACTATCAAAATGCAAATCATTTCAAGGCATTAGCACTTCAGAGAGGATGTTAGAAAGTTTTAAATATTTATCATAAACGGTCAATATAAATACGTGCTTATACACGCGCAGTCTGGGGGAGGTAAGACGCTCAGTGGAACCAATCAGCTATTTGTATCTATAGACGAGGAGCGTGGCTCATGGGCCAGGTTAGCGTGGAAAGGGTATAGCTACTGTAAGCATTCCAGCCAAGAAGGTAACACTGACACATGGTATACCAATAAAGGATGTTAGCATTTTTTTATATTACAAAAGTGAGGTACAGTTGTTTTTTCTTTTTTTTCTTTAAGTAAAAAATAAGAATTATATAATATGGTGAGGGTATTGATAAGAAATAAGTTGAAGGTTAATGGTACAAAAAAGGAAGCAAGAGAAAGGGATAAGAAAAGAATATTGTGAGTGGAAAAAATAAATCATTGTACAACATGTTTTGTGTTCCACAATGGATTAGTTCTTTAAATTTAAGTTAACTGCCTAAAGGTGTATTAACATTACACACATATATATATATATATATATATATATATATATATATATATATATATATATATATATATATATATATATATATATATATATATATATATATATATATATATATATATATATATATATATATATATATATATATATATATATATATATATATATATATATATATATATATATATATATATATATATAGTTGTATTTAGAACAATTTAGTTGAAATAGAATGCTTTAAAATATAAACTTTACAAAAAAAAATCAAATGCATGCCTCTATAAGGGAGTGAACAAATACTTATGTGTTTTGATATTTTTTATAAGCAAACTGTGTAGTGAAAGGTCACTTTCCTGTATGGATCAGTGATTTCAATATTTTCTCATTTTATTTACAGTTATACAATGTTAAACTCATTTTTGTCAAAACTTTGTGGTGCTCAAACTTTGTACTGTTCACAAATTAGTGAACCTAACCTAATTACCAAAGTGGTATGCTACCGGTATTCATTGTCTTCATGATGCTGATGATAACCTAGGTTAACCTGTCACTATATCTGAACTTTTTCAGGAGGGTCTGTTCACAGGTTCAAAGTTGTCTCAGTGCTGTATTTTGGAGCTTGTGTATTACAGAGGACATTAATAGACTTTTGGGCTCAATCATTTCCTGACTTTGAACTTATAAGATGACCTCCAAATATAGTTTGAGGGTCATCTTAAACATTCAGTGTTCATATAACATTGGTTTCTGGATGCAATGACTCTATTAATGTCTACTGTATTGTGCAAACTTTCAACATCTGCAATGAGTTTGTAAGTTCAATGAGATTTATTGTCACCTACTTTATTATAGGTCATTGGAGTACTATATAACTTTGAATACAATTTTGACTGATTGTTAAACATATGTCCCTTAAAGATTTGTCAATATCTCTGTTGTTTAATGGTGTCTTCAGATTAACAAAAGTGAAAAAAAATTTGGTAGAGAGTACCATGCAAACAGTTCATCTGAAGGGAAATGAGGACTAATATATCAATGTAAATCATAATACAGCAGTGCCTGTTATTTTGAGGAATGGGTGTAATTAAGCAAATGTTCACTATTTTATTTCGGCCATTTTAATCCTGTTATTGTATATTAATAAAGTTAGATCATTTATAGTCTGATGGAGAATGTGGTCTTCCATTATTACACAGGTGTGCTGTGTGAGATGTAGGTGATGAGACATCTCCAATACCTAATCTATTGACAGCTTGATATTTAATATATTTAATCAATATTTTGTTTGCTGCTAATCATTTTATTTTAACATTTCTTAATCAATTAATAATACAGGCAGTCCCTGAGTTACGAACGCCCGACTTACGAACCAGTCCCAATTACAGTACTATATACATAACCAAAATCTGTAAGTAAAATCCCATTTTATACATTATTGTTTATCATCACTCTCTTTACAGTACCGGTACTCCTTGTTTAGCATTAATTTGCTTTACATTAATTCACTTTAGCTGATAGTTTGACTCACTGGGAAGGGGGAAAAACTGGGGATGATGTGGCCTGTGAGATAACTAAGTTATGCATGTTGCCATTGTTACATGTAATGAAACTATAAAAGTTGTGGAAAAGTCATTACAGTAGACCCTCGCCAACTGCGGATTTTCCATCCGTAGATTCCGGGTGTCCACGGTTTTTACTCTTTAAAACACCGATATACCATTTCACCAATCACAGCATTGAATTTCGAGTATCCGCAAATTAGTGTGGCATCTTTATCCCTCCGCAGTCTAATATACTCTGCCATAAATGTGAGGAATAAATAAAACTATTACTGTACTGTACTACTTAATACATGTAAAAGAAAATAAAAAAAATTACATTGCCATTTGGAAATTGTTTCACTAAGGACACAGGAGACAGGAGTGTGCTCCTCCCTCCTGCTCCCACGATAATTTTTTACCTTATGATAACCATTTATTTTGTTTATTTTATTTTATATTTTTTGCACACTGTATGAAGGATTGTGTGTGTATATAACGGTACAAAAATTTAATAAAATTATATACAGTATACTGTATCTACTCGAAACTACGAGTTGAAAAAGAACAATAACGCAACTCACAGCTTGGTGTGGTAGGGGGAGAGCTAGTGGGATGTAGCTATAGGGACAGTTTAACTTGGCGACCTGCCAAGTCCACATACACACACACTCACGTACACTTCATACATATACACACCCATGCTCTTCATTTTTCTTATTTTATAGCAACATGCCATCGCCATGGAGATGGACTGTAAAATTTATACAGTAAACCGTCCCAATACCGAACTAATTCTTGCAAGCCCAGTCCGTTATTGGAAGGATTCTGTTCTTGAGAATGTCTGCTATTGAGAAGTCCATTATTGAGATATTGAGAGGTTTACTGTATTACTATTTAATTTATATTAAGTTATTTTATATATACAATATTTGACTCAAAACTATTTAAATTTACAATGCAGGTATTGTTTAGTGGAGGATCGGGCAACTTATGCTTTGATGAGTGTTATCTGCAGCCATGGAGCCTAACCCCATATTTCCCATATGCTTTTAATCTTGCCAACCCCAGATTTGCCAACAACAACATTTTTCAGGAACCTAACCCCCACGGTTGGCAAGGGACCACTACTACTGCTGTACACTACTCTAATGCGGCTTAGAAATAAAGATGATATAATATAAATAATAAAATAAGAAAAATAAAGAGCATAGGTGTGTGTATGTGGAGGCAGTGGGCTGTAACTGCATTGCCAGCTCAGCCATACTCCCTCCCCTGATGTGATGTCATGGCATACACACAGCGTGGCAGCAGCCACCTGTCTCTGCATCAGCCTGGCTGAACAGTTTCACGTCACCCAGAGGATGGTTTGAGTGTAGAAGGTACAATATTTTGGACATAAAATATGTACTATTGTATTTTATGATATGCTATAGTATTTCAATTTTATTGTTAATAGCAATTTTTTTTAATTTATGATGTTTGCAATTTGAAATTTGTTCAAATTAGGCACACCTTATGCTCACTAAATCATTGAGCTCTGAACCACATCATTTATACAATATAGAAATTTTAGTGTTAATAAATCAATCATTTAACTTTAAAACCATTTATAACAAACTCGTTTATTATTATTATTAGGGAGTACAGTACTGTACTCCATGTTTACTGCCCTGCCATTTGAACCTGTTGTTTGCCCTCTGTGCTTCGTTGTTATCCCTCGTTTAGTAATAATTTAGCTTAACGTTAGTTTTTTCAGCAATGCAACCCCTTCGTTAAATGAGGGATACCTGTATTTACATAACAGTATTTTCTTAAAGCTTACGGTTTTAAAGCTTGCGTCCCTTGGAAACTCATGGATTGCCATGGAAAATAAATAAAATAAATCTGAGGCTGTGTGCCAGGGATCAAGAGGAGTCAACACTACAGGACAGTACAGATTAACATATTTCCCAGGTCATAAGCTGCACCCTATAATTAGCAAAGGTATATTTGGGAAAAATAATTTTTGCAGATTTAATAGCCTACTGTACTGGCAAAGCCAAATCACTGGCTATATGGTATCATGTTTCTCACTACCACAGCTCACTATCACTGTGTGGACCTAATGTCCATACAGTGTTATTTCATGTTTGTTTATTTATTTATGTTATTTCATATTTATTATATTGTCTTATGCATACATAATGTTGTTACATGTGCATATAGCTACAGTATTTATCTATGTATTTTGCACACTCCTGGGACTGGCATGAAAAACTCGCGTATTTTGCTTTCTCACGGGGTCCGTTTTACCTAACCCCAGCGAGCTTTAAAGAATACTGTATTTAAAATGTAGTGGATATTATTGTTTTATATGGGCAGGGTTGTGATTTAGCCTAACCTAACCTATGAAATTAACACTGTTCTGACTTACAAACAGATTTTTCTGACGAACAGGGTCCAGGAACATAACCCGTTCAGCGTTCACAGCTCGGGGACTGCCTTTATAAAAAATTTAGGTAACTTGTCCTATTTATAAATTTAAAAGAAAAATTCTACTGTATACAATATTATGTATTTAATTGTATTGTACTGTACTGTACAGTACAGGTACAGTACATTGTTTTTGGAGACTCCATTCTGTCATGAGAAAGTATAGAGAATATTTTTTCGAACCAAGTATTATAGTTTTAGAGATATTCTGTAAACTGTAGCCCCTTTACTCAGTTTCATATCCTTTTTTTTTTGTTTTTATTCTTTCTTTTTTTTGTTGATTGATAAAGGTGGGTCAGACCATAGTTTCATGCACTATTTAGTTAGAATTATATTTTAGGCCAGTGTTCTCTTTGTGTTCTATTATATACTGTACAGTACTTTTTTGCAGAAAAATAGCAAGTATATACTGTACAGTACATTATAAAGTAAAAAAAACAAAACAAGTGATTACAGGTTTCAGTACTACTACTTCTTTGCTTATTATGATAATCATCCAGCTATGATACAATGATATGAGTTATTAGGGATATCACCTTCACTGGTGAGTTTTGAGGTGACTAAATTGGCCGATACGGGACCGGTAGAGTTGCAAATGTGGAGGGCTACATCTAGTGCGGGAGGGGCAGTGGCAGCATCTTTCCGGCGTTGGCGCTTGTCTGCCTCAGTTTGCAGTTGGGCTAACTCGAAAGTATTGACACCTTCTCATGTGGTGCTCCTCCAAGCGTTACGATGTGGAGTAATCGACTCCCAGGTGGGGGGGGGGAGGTCGATTTGGCAGTTTTTCAGGTTTGTCTTAAGACTATCCTTATACCTGTTCAGTTTTGCCTTCCAGCGTTACGTTTACTGTTTGTTAGGTGACTGTATGGTAGCTGCTTTGGCAGTCTACTATCGCCCATGCGGGTAACATGGTAAGTCCAGCGTAGTTGTTCATGAATAATGGTAGTCTCGATGCTCCTACAGTTGGTGTTAGCATGAAAACTGGCATTTGTTTTC